TTTTTTTAGTCCTGGCAAATTAGTTCCCCAAGGCTTGGTCCGAGCCCTGGGCCATTTGTTTCCCAAGACTCGGCCCAAGCCTTGTGTTTTGGTTTCCCAAGGCTTGGGGACATAGTTATCATCCTAGGCTTGGACCGAGCCTTGGCCCAATGTTTAGCCAAGGCTCGTGCCAAGCCTTACCCAAGGCTGGAGACGCTTGGCCCAGGCTTGGTCCAAGCCTTGTCCAGTTGTTCTTTCCTACCTGGGCATTGCGAGATGTGCGATGCAGTATGGGGCTGGCGGCAATGCTGTCACGTCAAACCTACTATGCGCCCGTGTAATAGATGCAACAATTCTGGTACTATACAGTATAGTAGATACTCCTATACTCATAGGAATTATAGCAATGCTCTGCAGCGACATAGGGATATCCGCAATGTATTTCTTTCCGTGTGTAATTAAAATATATTTATTTATTTAATAAATATATACTGTCAATTTTTAATGTTCAATTAATATTGTTTAAATAGAAAATTAGTAATTTATGTGAAATACTATAAGAGTAAGCTATTTGAATAAGCTTATCGAGTTTCGATTAGGTTCATTTGAGGCTCATTTAAATTCTTTTAGCTTCATTATAGACTCAATATACATTTTGAACTCAGGTAAGCTAGCTTGAGATTTACTTGAGTTCGATGAGTATTAATTGAGGCTATTAGATATTTCGGCCCAGATAGCTTCTCAAAAGAAGATGATCTATGATGATCAATCACTAAAACAAAGGAATCAAGAAACATCGCTAACATTAACCTTGGGTAACTAAGGCTATAAATGCAACGTAATGCACCCATACTATCAACATCATCTCCTAAGGCTACTGGATATGTAGGTTATCAAAATTTATTTTACATATGTCCACGCTATCGCTAAAATGTCCAAAATTAATCAAAAATTAATAAAAATCCAACGATTTAACTAAGCAGAGTTCTACTCAAACGATCGCTACTCATATCAGTATAAGAGGCGTGGTTATAAGATAACTGCGCGCGCATCCTCGCCGGCACAGGTGAACTTTGATGAGGGATGAGTACCTGGCCAGGTAAGCCAGCCACGAGGGCTTTCAGGTACTAGGGTCAGTCAAGGTCTTGCTACGCAACAGGACACACACATTCTTTATTCCTCATTGGAATTATAATCTTCGGTAAAAATAAATCACAAGCATCGAAAAATTAGAGCACTTTACTGAAATAGATTGATTGAATACCTTTCAAATGGTTAAAAAAATCGTCGCATCAATTTTTGTCGGTATTGATTATTGGAAACTCAAGTTTACGAATTTTTTCCAATAATAATAATCAGAGCATGTACGTGATATTGTAATTATATTTAACGAAAGATTCAATTTTTTTTTTTCATAATTTGAAAAAAAATTTATAAGTTTATTCATGTTTTATGATTTGAGATTTATTTAGGATAATAACATTTAACTGATTAGTTTTTTCATAAGTGAAGTGTTAAAAAACAATTGGAATTTAAGTGTGTGACTTGCCCGATGAAGCAAGAAAAGGATTACTGAATAGTATTAAAATATTAAATACATCAGTAAAATGTGTGGTGAGTAAATATCATTCGCTATTTTAATTAGAAAATTTAAATTTATTGAATCAAATCTATCATCATAAATGTGTTTTTAAAAAAATAGAAGATTTTAAATTAATTTTATAAAAATTTTTTGTAAACTGAGATTTTTGCTGATTATGAAATTGATCGATAAATTAAAATTATATAACATATTATATTTAAAATATTAAAATATAGCATGATAAATAAATTTGAATACGTATATCACAAAAAGCACTTGGGTGTAAAAATTCAAAGTAGAAAAATATTTGTATTTATAATAAATGAACTAATATGACGATGACTTGTGAAGAATCAATTTTTACATAATAGACGATATAAAAATTATTCGACAAAAAAAACATTACGATTAAGTAAAGATATATACTCACAGATGCGAATGTCAAGTTATGTTTTTGTGTTCCTTAGTTAAACTTCTCTATATTGAAACTAGATAAAACTTGATAAGATTGAAATTATCGATTTTCGGCTCCGATCTATTGTCTCCTATATAGTACAACTATTTCTTGATGTTGTTTTCATATCATCGTATTATTAAATCGAACATTGACTCTTAAATTTTTTAAACCACATTTTACAATGTACATAAAACACCTGGAAAAATACCCGTAAGTCTTCAAATAATAAATAGTAAAGTCTAGAAATAATAACGTTTTACTAAAGTGATAAGACTAATACAGAGAATAACTAACATTCATCAGTATATTCAATTGTTTTCCGGAATCCGATATTTGACTAATTTTAAACGGATCAGATCATACATCACATTAAAGTTCATTTTTATTAATACAATATGATCGTTCAAATTGGTGCTCAACATTTAAATTTTAGTATTAAAAGTAATTAATTATTGATCGATAAGCCAGATTTACTGTTAGAAAAATTAACTTGATTCAAGAACAAAAAAATCTTAAACCAAGTGAAGTTTATTTAAACCAAGTAAAATGTTTTAAATCAAAAATTATTCTGCTTGAATTCAAGACAAAGAATTTTTTCAAAATGGTCCTCATGATTCATGAATTTTTCTCTTGAATATCGAGTTAGTTTTTTTAGCAATGTTTAATTAAAGTTTTATAAAGAACCGAAAAAACTAAACTTTTATTCAGCAAAACTTACAAGTACAATAGTAGATTTTCGACTCAAATACACAGATAAAAAAATTAACTTAATTACAAAAAAAAATTTCGAACCAAAAAGATCATTTTAAACAAAATTAAAAAAAATTAACTTAAACCTAGAAAAATTTCTTAGTTCTAGAATTATTATTGATTCAATCAAATGAATTCTTTCATCGGTACAGAAATGATAAAAGTACTAACAATGTTATTATTAATATCTTTATAAAGAATCAAGAATCACTTGCAGGAAAATTAATATTTGAAACTACTGATGCTCTAAATAATTCACTATTATAAATATTTACCTACCTAGAAACTTTTCTTATCGCTATTATTATGTTAGTATAATAAACTTTACGATACGCCTGAAACATAAAACATGTATGATGTTCATACTTCAAACATTATTTAAATTATTAAATACGTATCAATAGTATCTATATATCTATAATGGAAAAAATAACAGTGTAAGTAAATTGTTCAGAAACAGTACCAAGAACATGGATGATGAAACCAGAGATTAATTGCGACGATGTAAGAGTTCCTACCGGTTCCCTATCACCCCCTGCCACCCTGTCTCCACCAAGCAGTCCAAATGTCTTGTCAGCATCGCCCTGGAGTCCAGGTGGTCTTACCAGTGGTAGCAACAGCTCTTGCAACGTCGTCTCTTATCCATCGGCGGGCAGCCAGCTCGCACCTGACCACCGACTTAGCGCATTTACCCTTGCATCTGGTTATGCTTCTGATCCTAGGCTGCAGAAGTTAACACATGTACCCGAATTAAACTCCCGTGGTAAGTATTTCTCTGCGTGTGTGTCTGTGTGTAAAGTACTTTTTTTTTGTCTGCATTGAAGATTCGAAAGATCTACTTTCGAGGAAGAAAGAAAGAAAGGCATCTTCTTAAATTCACCACAACGACCATTATGTGTTACAGTTACAGATATGCGTTGTGGTCTAATGTATGGTGGATGCAGTACAGCCTGGTGGACTCATCATGCGGTAGGCCTTCTGCTACCACATTCCCTTTTGCCACCCGAAATTCCGGCACAACAGACAACACTTGTTACCAAACGCTCTTCATTGCAGCATGAACGAACTAGTCCTGACCGAGCCAGTCCACCTAAACAGTCTTTACCTGAGAAAGCACACTTTATTGGTGAGTTTTTATTCCTTTTTATCATAAATCATAACAATAAATTTTCGGTCGAAAATGAAATGGAGATTATTATCTTTTATTCGTGGTAAAAACGTTGTATGCGTTACTTGTTACGAAAAGTAGGCCAGGAAATTGGCGGTAATTGTCACTTTAGAGGACACAAGAACCGAAGCACGAATCGGTAGGGAGAAATGAAGAAAAACCGGTCGTCAGTAGCCAGGGTACCACGTTTTATCGGTGGCCCGTTACTGTTATCATTCTACTATATGACAACCTAGGTTTCGGACCAATTATAAATCCCACGGTATTGTTTATTTTTGTGTGAATTGTAATGCCTCAATGTACATACAATAAGAATAGGATATAAGCTATATTGAAAATAAAAACTATCTGATTTAAGAAAAGTATTGTTGGTAAAATTTAAAGATATTCAGTTTTCATAATTAAAAAAAATTAGAAAAACGGTTCACCCTAAAGGCCATCCCTGCAACTTCCCGCTCATTTTGTACTTAAACGCTTCAAACTACACATTACGTTTTTGAGCTCTTCGAGCTCAAAAATATTATTTTGGCGTCAATTTGAGCTCTTCGAGCTCAAAACTCTAATAGCAGTTTAAAGACACAATTTTTTGAATTTTCAAACGGCAATAACTTTTGAATGAATGAACCGATTTTCACGCGGTTGGCGGCAATCGACGCAGTTTTTAAAGCTCCATGGAAAATCTTCAAGTTTAAATCGATCGAGCCATGAATTTCGAAGTTATTACAAAAAAACACTTTTTTCGATTTTTTTCGACAACGATATCTCACGAACGCATCAACCGATTCTAACGTTTTTGGTGGCGATCGATGGGGGTTTTCGAGGTTAAGAGCTGATTAGTTTTTGAGACCGATCGGTTCAGCCAATTCGGAGATATTTGAAAAAAATAAAAAAAAAACTTTTTCACTTTTTTTGGATTTTCTCGAAATCTACCGGTCCGAATCGGTTCAAATTTTCAGGAAATCTAAGTTTAGTGAAGCCCTTTCGAATGACACCAACCGCGATGAAATCGGTCAAGTCGTTCAAAAGTTACAAGAGGTTTACACACACACACACACACACACACACACACACACACACACACACACACACACACACACACACACACACACACACACACACACACACACACACACACACACACACACACACACACACACACACACATATATATATATATACATACATACATACATATACACACACACACACACATACAGACGTACGGACATCATCGTAAAAATAGTCAGGGAAGCTTTCTGTGACCTTCAAACGTCGAGATCTGATGAAAACTCGATTTTTGTAAAACGGGGTGAAAACAATAACTTCCCGATTTTTGAAAATCTGAGATTTTTAGCGGGAAGTTAAAAATTAACCCCCGTATCAAGAACTTTCTCAGATTTCTCTTACTTTCTATGTCATAAAGTCTCAAATATGTTTTTTGTGTAAAATTTTTGCTCATTCAAATTTTTTTTTCATGGTATTTGGTATAAAAAAACTAGTTTGTTTTATTGTCTAATACATCAATATAAAATTTTTGATATGGCCTGATATAAAAATTGGCCATATCTGGCTTAATATGTCCTAATATGACTTCATACGCCCATATATGATTTTTCGATCTAAAGTAGTGTTGAAAATCTCTAACGGAAAATGAATAATTTCTTAATTGTCTTCTTACATAAGAGTTTAGTCTGAAGTGTTAAATTTTAAAATAAAAATCATTCTTTTTACTCTCCTAATTAAATAGATAAAATGCATCATATAAAGATTGCAATTTTATCTCTGATCATTGTCTAAGCATCTAATAACAATTTAAAAAAATTGCAATTCAATCGATTGAAGACTTTTTCCCTTAAAATTAACCGGAATAAACTAAAGATTTCTCTCATTATATATACCTAAAAAAAATTTTGTGTGAATCTGGTACAGACAAATCGAAATCGATTTAAACGGTTCTTGTATCACTTGAAAGTGTTCATCAAGATTGAAATCAGTTTTAATTAGAACATCGGTTGGATAATCACTTTTACGAGATATTTTATCATTGAAAATAATGTCTCGGTATATGAATAAATTTGGATGTTTTAATAATTATTTCAGCGGAAAGAATGACACAATCTACTGAAGAAGATGAAGAAGAAGACGAAGAAGAAGTGCCATTAAATCTCAGCACAAAACCGAGTGATATATCATCCGGTATAAATCGAAAGTGTGAGATTTGGTCACCTGGTGCTGTTTGTGAACGTGAAGCCAAAGAGACTTCGACACAAATTTCACCATCAACTACACCATCAATTATTGTCCGACCGATCAATCACTCACCCCTTACACCACCTTCTAATGATAGAAGTTTTCAGGTGAGTGTTTTATTCAATGTTCAAGTTCTGTTTATATTTAATTTACAAGCAATGTATTCAATCTATTAACTGCAATTCATACGCTGTTAAAAATCCATCATACTAGATACCAATGTGACGTAAAAAACCAACAATTTTTTTTTTGAGCTCCGTAAAAATTTTTATTTTTACGTAAAAAATGACTTATGTTTTAAAATTTTAAGGCGACTTTTTAATTTCTACAAGTTCTTGAGATGTTTTCGATTTTCTTATTAATAATGTAGGTGTTTTGGAGTGCCGTGCATAAGAAGAGTGGCTCTTTGAATTCAATACAGTAATTAGTAATATGTATTAATTGCATTGCAATAATAATAATTGTCCGTCTACTTTTGGTTTATATCTTGTGCTCTTTTTTATTGTTTAATACATGTCAATTTCAAGGAAAAAAATTTATGAAAATTCTTGAATATTTAAAAAATGTCTCTATAATAAATCAAAATATTGACTTGAAATTTTTTAATTTAAGATCATTTTTAGCGTATGAAATAACACAATAAGACAAAAAATAATTTTAAAAAATCTGAAAAGTGGTTGATCTGCAGGTCATCCCTGGAACTTCCCGCTTTTTTCGAGCTTGAAACACTTGAAAATCATCCAATTGAATGATTTTTGAGCTGTTGAAGAAAAAAAATTCAAAAGTTTTATAATAAAAATAATTATTTAAAAAATTTTAACTAGCTATAACTTTTAAACGCGTCGTTCGATTTTGATTTGCTTGACGGCATTCAGCGCAATTTTTTAAGTTTAAAATCTAATAAAAATTCGCATTTTCAAAATCGAATTGAAATTAATAACTTCCTATTTTTTAAATCATTAATTTTCAAAGCGGGAAGTTAAAAACGAAAAGTAAAATCAATTTTTGACCATTCTAAAAAATTTTAAAGATCTTGAGTGTCCGCCCAAAGCTTTTTAATTAATCATAAAAAACTCAAAAAGAATTAACTAGTTTTTTGAGCAACACAACCATGAATATTTTATAAAAGTCCATTATGTTTAAAAATGTAATTAATTAAAAGAAAAATAGATCATCTTTCAAAGGTTGGTATTTTTATTATTCAATGGACGATTAAAAATGAAATTTTTATTAGTCCGTACATAGTACCTTATGTCAATAAACAAAATTACCTTAGTGACAAAAAAAAGTCAACCTCATGTATGTATGTACTACTATAAACATTGACGACTCTCTTAGATATAATAGATAACCTTATGTATACGCTTTGTCTGGTATCCAACTTGAACTTTCGTGGAAAAAACGTAACATAACATATCAGTCGTGGAAATCTAAAACTACTACCCACAAATCATTAACGGACATATTTAAGCATAAAGTTTTATCACATAATTTTTCATCCTTTGTTTATTATATCATAAAGGCATACAATTTGTTGGTGTATTAATAGTTAATGTTCAAAATTAATTACTTTTTTAACTATATATCTTCTTCATTTCGTTTATCTGTGTTAATCGTTAGGCAGCCATACGTATATGCATTCATATAAAGTGTGTAATATTTAATCAATTTGGAAAGATGGCATTTAAATGTTTATTACAAAATGAAAATAATAAAAAAAAAAGAAAGTATTTTACCGTGTAATTTAATAGAGTATTAAAAGAGGAAAAAAAATGTCACGATGTTATCAGTATTTTTTCCACACTCCACCTCTTTAATCGATCCAATAACAGCGATGAACATATTATCGCGATGATTTTTTTCCCCTCATATTCTCATCGTTTTGTCGAAACACTTTATCCATCAAAGCATGTCCAATTACAATATCTAGGTGTACAATACGTTATGATGAATCGCGCTATATATTATTTATGGTTAATATATTATACTGCCAATGAGACCATGGAAAAAATAAGTTAACACATATAATAAAAATTACTAATTGACAATAATATCGTAGTTTCGATCAATTATGAATTTTTTTTTTTTCCTAGTAACATACTTACTTTATAATTTTCTACCAACAAGTGCTCCAAATCATGGATATAACAAGTGATTTTACGCAAAAAATGACAATAATATATTTCTTCCTAAAAAACAGAGATTTGATGTACGGACTTTCTTCAACAACACTTTGGTCAAAAACGATTAATGAGATAGCTAGCGTGTATGCAAAAGTAGAAACACCGTTAAGCTTTTATACTTGCTCACTTGGAGTATGCACATCACTTTCATGGGGATCGATAACACACGAACAAAGAGCCACGACATGGCCTTCTTTCCGGCCAATCGCGTAATTGCACCAGGTTTTTGTTGACTTATCCAGTAGAGCAGTTATCTCTAATCTATTATAAACATAAATATTAACAAACACTAATAAATTTACCTTATATTTTTTTCATTATTTTTCATTTTACTTTTATATTGCTATAAATAGAACTAAAAATATAAAATAAATCCACAAACGGTACATGGGCTTATAGTTAAAATAATATCGAACAAAAATTATCCGATGAGCTTATTTTCATACCGGAAATGGACACTTGGGCATAAACAACTCTATTTAAATATTATGTCGAAGAGTGTCTAGACAACTACGGAAATTCATAAGACAAGTATTCTTTTGCATATTGTTCACAAAAGTCCGTTGGCGCCTATGGAACAATAAGCGACCAGGCGAGATAAAAAAGCTTTGCATACACAGGTGTGAACAGAGGTCTCACAACTTGTTTAGAAACCTTTTTCCCTCTTACGTTACCACTTGATGCCGATGTATTGGAAAGTATTAACTACTTTAGATGCAATATGTGCACTAAAAAAATTATTTTCTTTTACCGAGTTAGATTAGTTATTTTTCAATTTCTTATTTTAATTTTTCGAATTGAAAAATTTATTATTGTGATATTAATATATCATATCATTTGATATTAAAATCAAATCAGTATTCTAATGTTACTATCCTGTTGCTCATCTCTATGATATAGTCAACTATGATATGAAAACCTACATAGTGATTGTCTAATAGACTATACAAAACGACACGCCACGTCAATTCACCGACCATATAAATCGCTACACGATTCGTTGCTTTGACATTGATTTGACACTTTGGCTATTTATTATCTTCGCGTGACTGAAGAGTCTTCAATTGTACGCTTATAAGAATTTGAATATTCTATCATCACTTACGATTTTTTAATTTTAGATAACACCTTAAGACTTTTTTTTCACTTGCTCAATTTCTAAAAGTCAACGTTATATTCGAATTCTACGCATTAAAAACATGAAAATAAATTTTACTTTGAAAAAATTTAATATCATAAACAGATAATATAGTGCTGACACTTTTTATTTATTTATACTCGAACAAACAATATGAACGTCGCAAAACTCATATTTTTTGTCAAAATTCGTAGAATTAAAAAAAAAATGTAAAAGTTCATTTGTCTCGCGCCGCAAGGTTAGAAAAATGATTTTTCTTTATATAAAAAACTGTGTTTGCATTTTTATTAAAATCGATTCCACTCGCTCGAAAAAACTGAAAGAATTAAAAAATAAAACATTATTGAAATTTAAAAAAACTATCACTTCGAAATTTTTTTGAGTATTGAGAACTCTTCTACAAAATTTTAAAATAATTGGCGAAGATCACCCCGCAAAAATAATTTTATTTGGTAAAATGTCTTGGATTCAATTAAAAACTAATTTTAAATAAATTACAAAAAAGGACTGAAAATTAGATTTCTTTCTTCTCGTCTCTTTCACCTTATTTTATCGCTAAATTTATAGTAAAAAAGTTTAAAATCTAAAAACTGATGTTTTTTGACAATTTTGAATTGCCAAGTTGCTTTAAATACATCATTTATTACTGAACAATATAAAAAAACCGCTACCTTCCACTTACAATGAAAAGTGACATAAATATTCATGATTGACATTTCAAGCGTATGTTACTTATAAATAAAATAAAGTGATATACTTAACAAAACTCTAACACTTAACGTAATCCATAACAATTAACTTCCCAACCATAGTTTAAGTACTTGCACTGACACAAAAAACTAATTTTAATAAAATTACCAATTTATATTATTATTAGTTGTCAAGATAATTTCTCTCCATCGAATTATTTGAAGTATACAGAGAATAAAAAGTATATCTTTTTATTGTTTCAGTGTAAGCAATGTGGAAAAGCTTTCAAGCGATCTAGTACATTGAGCACTCATCTTTTAATTCACTCAGACACGAGACCTTACCCTTGTCAATATTGTGGCAAGCGGTTTCATCAAAAGTCTGATATGAAGAAACATACATACATTCATACTGGTGAGTAACATTTATTTTTTTATAAAAATTTATTCCTTAATTATTATTTAATTGTGGTTCAATTTGAACATCTTACAGTTAACTGTTCTTTAAATTTTTTACTGTAACGTTATATCTACTGAAATAATACAAATTTATACGTTAATTAATAATGACAATTAAAATTATTTACAAACTTAAAAACTTTAGTGCCACAATAATTTCAGATTTTTCTTACCTTAAACAATCTTAATTATAATATCATGTAATTGCAATGAATAAGTTAACGTACTGAAGATAAATATAACTGCAAACTAATACAGATAATTCTATATATTTATTTAAAATATCTGTAATAGAGTAATGTCAGTAAATTGTAAATCAGTGGTTTACAATATTTGCATGTCAAGTATAAATTGGAAACCGCACTACAATATTAATGATGAGTACAACTTGTAAATCAAAATCAATTCAATGTTGTCTATAGCTCTAATCGTGATAAGTTTTAGCTATAATTTATTGATCTTAATAATGCACAATAGGAAATTAAATAATGTTGTTCTACGGAAAACGGTTGTAATAATAATAATAATCTTTATTTATTAGCAATTTGCTATTCAATTTTTACATTAAAGGAAAATTTTCAAAACAGTTTACAGATTATAATAAATATAGCATGCTCAATCAAGTAAATGTTTTTTTGTCAATACGTATTTTTAACATAGTCCTTTAGTAGTCGTCTAAAGTAATAATATAACTGACATTTAAAAAATCAGTAATAACTGGAAAAAGAGTCTGTTACAAAAATGAGAAACTATAATAAGGTAAAAATAACTATTATGTGACGGTTTTCCGACTTATAACATATTACAAGAATAAACTATTTAAAAAAAAATACATCGCTAAAAATATAATACTAAAAATATATCATATACATTAACTTTTAAAACATACATGCATAGTGATGACTGCTCGTGAAAATAGTCAAAACTGTCTCCTAGGACATCAAACAATGGAGATCTGATGAGAACTCGATTTTCGAAAATTGGAGTGAAACCGATGAATTCCCAATTTTCGAAAATCATTGATTTTGTAACGGAAAGCTTAAAAAAATAACTAAAGAAATAATTACAAGAAAAAAAGAAGTCAATTAATCGAGCGAGTCAAAGAACTTTAGAAGAGATTTAAAAAAGTATACTGAATTACAGTCAATTATTTATGTTGTTCAATCGTTTAATTTGTGAAAAATTCGTAATTTGTTTTTAAAAAATAGTCTAAATTTCTCATAAATATGATCATAGAGGTTGTCTTTAGAAAATTCTTATTTTATCTATTTTCAACTTAAAGTTTATTGTAAACAAGAAATACTGACTTCATAATCGCAAAATTATTGTATAATACAAAAACTATTGTTTTTTCACTCAAATATACATATTTTTTTTTTTTGTTTTTTTTTTTTAAGAAAATGTTCAATCTTTCTTGAAATGTGTTTTATGGTAGGTACTTAACTTATTCTACAATTGCAATGAAAAATAGTATAAAAAATTTAATTATATTTATTATTGGATAAAAATAACTGAGTAAGATTGTAATTCACAGTTCAAGGAATAATTTTAAAAGCTGTTTGGGGTGACTATAAAATATTTGAGAACATAAAATTACAAAATGATAGTAATGTGTTTAAAAAATGCAACAGTGAACAAGAATTTAAACTTTCGAGGAGGTGAAAATCATAAACCGCTATCAAAGAACCCTCTCAAAAGTATTGAGTCTCTCCCATTTGGTTAATTAGCTTGAAACATGCACCCTAACTCGCTTGGCTGCCGTCGGGCACGTGTCAGCCAGGCGCGGGACAGGAAACTCACTTAACGCCTGGTAAACCAGCTATTTCACATCATAACATCATTTCCGGACATGTCTGCCGTACGTTGTCATCAGTTATTTTTCAACTAAGTTATTGATCGTTACATCAATACTAAAATAGTTTCATATTAAAAATCATCTATATATACATGTCATTTGTACATTTACTTAGATCATTTGCGCTTTATAAAATGAATAATAACCATAAAAACAATACATATACATCATACATTACATAGCAAACAATGACAAGCTATTAATAAAAACAAAAGAAAAATGATAGGAAAATATAGAATAGATATAACTTTGCTCTATAAACTTAAAAATTGATTCCTTCGTGTCTTTCAACCCTTTATACATGTCATCAGAAAAGTTTTCCCTATCCGACGGAAACAACTTTATGCAATGTTATATATGTTCTACGTTCTACAATAGAATAAGTATTTGTTATGTTTCTCGAGCTAAAAGTGTAATTGCTTTATATATAAAGCACTTTTGACGTATTAAATATAATTTGTAAATATGGTAAAAGAAAGTATATTTTGAGTATTTACTTAACCGGTAATCCACAAATCAATAACAGCTTAACGTTTTACAACCCTTTAAAATTTTTTTAAATCTTTAGCATCCCTATAAATACCTAGTTCAACCAAGCTGATTTTCGAAGATGACATTCTAATCTAGAGACAGTGAAATTTAGGCATTTTTTAGGCTCTACTAAAAAAAACAAAAGATATTTTTATCATCTTTTTTGCTACATATTTATTACAATTTTCAGAATGTGTAGAAAAATTTTTTAATTCAATGCGTTTTTCCGAAAAGACTTTTTTCAACGCAGTTGGCATATAATATCTCAAGTTCTAATGAACCGATTTAGTTGAAATTTGGTACGAACTTTTTCTATACAACGTTCTATCGCTCCTACCAAATTCATATCAAAATCTTCTTTTACTACTCTTAAAAAATTCAAAACTGAAAAAATGTTCGATGACTAGAATCCACCTTTATAATTTTTAATTTTTTTTTATATATTCTGAATTTCAAAACATCTATAAATATCGGACAGAAAAAAAAGAATGAAAGAATTTTTAATTTTTATTCATCAAACCGAAAAAAAAAACAATCAAAACACCCTAAATTAAAACATGATAAGCCAACATACTTTTGTGGGAGAAAAAAGTCATTTTATGCGCTACCCTCATAAATGCTTTATTAAAAAAATTTAATCAGGTAACTTTATTGGTTCCATTTATAATGAAGTCGATTGTTTTTTGTAAACATTGTTTGCACTTTACAAGCTTGATATTTTTTAACATAAATATGTTTTGCTTCAAGGATACATTTTTAAAAATTTTTTTACGAATACTAACAAATGATAGCTTACCATTTTCTCAAATACATTTGGTAAAAAAAATTTCCAAAAATGTTCTTTAGATGTTTTTTTAGAACGTAGTCTTGAAAAACTAGAATCTTATAGTATCAGATTACAGAGGTCAAGTTTCCCACCAACAGTCATATTGCATTAACCCTAAAAAACTATTTGCATTTTTTCTGTCTCATATGACAAATCAGTTGTACATCCCTAGAAAAGTTGACGTTGAATGATTGAAAACATCATTTCTTATTCATTAGAACGATTCATAATCGTGACGTAGCAATTACACTAATTGTATTTTTTCAACGGCCTACGCGTCAAATGAACTTCGACGTCTATATTTCTGTGGACTAAAAAAATACATACAAATATAAGTTAAATATATTATTCAAAATATAAATACACAATGTCTATAACGCATGATATTAGGGCGTTGATTTAAAGATTTTGATACCATTTATATTTATATTTAATTAAACATAAATTAGTTAACCTTTACTATTTACGACATTCATTAACCTACGCACTATTACATTAATTATACAAACCAAAACTCAAGTTTTATCTTATTTAAATATTTACACAATAAATTATTTAAATGTTAAAGGAGATTACTTACTGGAATTTCGTCTGCGAAGAATAATCAATTTTCAAAACCTATGTCATTATGATCGATATTCGAAAATAAAGCTAAGTAAAATAAATAAAAATGATATTCCAAAAATATTAAAGTTGATTGATCATATTTCTGAAATATTATACGTAGTCAATCACCAGTACACTCGGTATATTTAATACACAATACTTTAAAAACGAGGTTAATCGCAGGTTAACTATTTCTTACCAAATATATATGATTATATTCGTAATCCGTGTGCATATGTCTGAACGATTAATGAGAAAATATGACTTTGAATTGCTTGTTATTACACTAAATTATATGTTAAATTATTGTAATTGATATTTAATAGTTAAATTAGTCAAAAATGATTGAAAAATTTTGCAAGAGTCTAAATGATTCGGGGAATTGATAACAGCCCATATGTCTACAAGTTATTTGATAACAAAAGAAAAAACTGAACTGTTTGCTCTATATATCATATGTGAAGATATTCACATTTTACTTATTGTATATCATGCAAAAAAGTGTTCACGCCTTCGTTTAATTTCATTATTTCTTGTTTCGTTTACATGACATCAACAATTCATTACTTGTTGGTGTACTCAGGTGTTATCAACTAACCTTGGACAATTATTTTTGCTCACCATCGCATCGTCCACTCATTTTAAAAACAAATAAAAGGTTAACAAAGACTATTCTCTTCCAGAAAACTGACACTCAAATCCACTCGCTGCCAATTATGTGTTACAATTATGTTAAAAATAATGTTAGCAATCAAATTTTTGTAAATAATTTCACTCTTATAGTGTTTATGGGTCATTCTACAAAAATAAGTCGACTTAATATAATTTAGCTACTGCCTTACACATATTTGATTCTATTGAGTATCGGTTAATAAAAAAAATTAATTACATTTTTGATTATTTATGATGAGGTATAACTAACAGGTAGAAGCATTTCGTTTAAATTCTTTAAGATAAAATGACAAAATTGTTCATCTGTATAATACGATCAAAATATATGACAGTGAAGAGAAAACTAAAAGAAAAGTTTTAGAAATCGAAACATTGAGATTATCTCCAATACTTATATGCAATATATTTGCTGCAATAAAAAGTTAATGATTTTTAATTTAAATAAAAAAACGTATAACCCAACTAATTAGCGTATTAAGATGCGCTTAACATCACATAGAAGTTAGAATTGTTAAGTGTGCAGTTGAAAATGCAAAAATTATGAGTTGTAATTTTCAATACGAGGCCAACGACAAGCAACGACTTTATTTATTTATCAGAAAATTCATAAGAGTTCTACGATAGAACAAATCACCTGTAAACAATTATTTTGTACATATTCTTTTATGTTTACTGAAAAAAGTAAAATAAAATTATCAGATATGTAATTGTTAGAAGATAATGACACGGTTCAAATTGAACAAGTATACAATTTATATTTTTGCAAACAGTTTTATTAATTTTAGGCAAAGTGATTTGTCAATATAAATTTGCTTATATTATTAGAATACAAACTCTTGCACCTTATATAAAAATTTTAATTACTCATATTCTTAATATTTTTAAATTTATAAACTAGATTTGTTTATAATTCAGGAATTTTTTAATCAAAGACTGACAAATATTTTTCATTACTCTTTTTCATGTACTTATGCATGGAATAATATTATTTTCATCTCTACTGGATTTTATGGCCTGTAAAATTAAATAAAAAATTATTTGATTTATGTTTCAGGTGAAAAACCTCATAAGTGTGTTGTCTGCAGCAAAGCATTTTCACAGAGCAGCAATTTAATAACTCACATGCGAAAGCACACAGGGTACAAACCTTTCCAGTGTGGCTTATGTGAGAAAGCATTTCAAAGAAAAGTTGACTTGAGAAGACATCGAGAAGGTCAGCATCCTGCTGCTCCTGCATTAGATTACCGGTCCCTTCAAATTCCAAATTTATCGAATCAACGTTCATATTCACCGATTCATATTCGTACCTCTAATTATCATGCAGCTGCTAATTTTGCCGATAGCTGAAATGAACAATTAAATTACAGAGTTGGAAAATCGGCTGGACCAATGAAAATAACTATAAAAATTTGAAAAAGAATTTAATTTATTTTCTTAAAAAAACGTACTGTAAATCCGTCCACTAATTAAAAAAAAATATGAGCTTTATATGAATAGTCTAAAATCAACAAGATATATAGATATATGTTCAATTAATAAATTAATTGAGAAATAATTAAAGAATTATTTCGAACTATTATTATAGTATTAAATCGAAATAACTTTGGAATAAATGTTCAGATATAATTTTTATTAGTTAATATATTATCATGTACAAGTGCCTGGCCGTGCCTTTTTAAGTGGTCGCCACATACCTGAAATTAATTTATTTTGTAACTATGTATTTCATTCACTGTATATAGTATATAAAAGACATATATGAAATCGTCGGTAATTATTTAGAATTTCTGTCTATCCTATTTTTCATCATTTTTTTTTTTTTTTACGTGATAGTTGTTTTTTTTTTTTTTTTTTTGCGCATTTTGTTCAGTAATAGTAATTTTCGCAATTTGAGAAAAGATTATTTGAAAAAAATTTTTTTTTCATTGATCATGAATTTACATTACTTACTTATGATGAAAAAGAAATAGAAACCTATTTATTACGAAAAGACTAAATAAGAAAAAAAAAAATTTTTTTTTAGTTCCCTATTTATTACGAAAAGACTAAATAAGATAAAAAAAAATTTTTTTTTAGTTTACATACAAGTTTACAATGTACTATCAGAAATTTGTTTTCAAATTGTTTTATTTTTAATAAATTTTAAGAAAAAATATATGTAAAAAGTAAAAGAAATGTTCATTGAAACATCGGAAAAATCTTTATTTTGTAAACTCATAATTTTAATCTACTAACTGAAATTTTGAATTTTGTAAACTACCCAACTCACAATCTTATATAAATGCACAAAAACAAAACACTTTTTTTGAGAAAAAAAATCACAATGAGTTGATTCTTCGACTTTTTATGGCCAAAAATAGGATTGACCCCAGTTCTAAAATAATCACGAAACTTCACTAAAAATTCATATATATCTATGTATATATATAACGTGGGTAATGGTTTATACAATTGAAATATTTTATAGTACTAAAGTTTAGTTTAAGGAATAAAAATACGTATCTGATACCAATATTATATATAAATTTGTGATATATTGTAATGTATCGTTGATTGATTAGTTACGTAGATGTTATATTTTCTAAATAAAATTTAAGAATAGATTTACATTATGATGTAAGTTGAACATGTAACTATGTTAAGAATAGTTTTCAGAGTTATCGTTTTAACTGAATTTAGAATCATTAGCCCACGTTATGCAGTCACGTATGTCATAGTCCATCAAGCCAAAGCCGCCTATAATGATGGGAAATTAAACTATAAAAAAGTGAACATAAAGTTTTATCAATTGATTAATGTATAGATTTTCTTTGAGTAATAATTTATGATGGCTTTTTTGAACAGTAAAATTGTATAAATATTAAATAATACCGAAAAATTAATATAACGATAAAGATAAGATAGCCTGAATAAATTATTTAAAAAGCTTAAGCGGTGAAGAAATGATTAATTATATTGATAAACTATGGTTTGATCGATCTTTTCAACTGTTAGAATGACTGACAAAAAGATTTCATAGCGGCTAGAGGACCAAAGATAGTTTAAATTAAAAATTGCCATATTGGCATTTTTCATAGTTTGATATTTTTAAACTGAATCCATTTATTTACAAAACATATTATTATTCTTCCATTTTTTTTTAATCTATTGAAATTATGGAGCTAAATTTTGGAGTTACAACGAAGTTGAAATTATAAAGCTGCCGTATGTTTAATTAAGTCGTTAAGTTAGGTTGACATCTTCACCATAAGTAAATTACAACATTCCAATAAATAATACAATATTTGAAATAATTACTGTTATTTTTTTAACCAGTTGCGAAATCAATAACTATGTTAATAATTGTCAATAAAAGTGAATTAGAGCTGATTTTTCTTATGGGATTATAATAATAATTTGTTAGTTAAAAATAATGAGACTTATTTTCGATGTATTTGATAGTTTATTGTTATTACTATACAAAAAAAAAAGAAAAAGTATTTAAATATTGACGAGTTTCCATTTCATAAAGTTGAATCTTGTCAATTCTTGATATTTTGAAAGTTCCTTTACTAATTCACTTTGATGTTGAATTGTATCTGTAAATAGAGCGCAATATAACGTAATTATTTTATCATTATTTATTTCAACAAAGAATAAATATTATCAATAATTTTAAATCATTAAAGGGAATAATTAATAATCAAAATATAGAAATTAATATGTGCGTGCATTATGATAAAAAAAATTAATGTTACAGATATATGTCAAATAACAAAACCAAAAAAATATTTAGTTTTACAAAGAATATGAGTTAAATAAATAAGTACTTTTCTTTCTTAATGGCACTGATTATTCAATTATTTCAACACTCTATGATCCTTTTGACTTCCTAAGCACCCAAAATTAAATCTAACTAAATTTAGGCTTAATGTATAATAAGGTACAAGCAGATTTATTATTTTGATGTAATTTGGATAATTATATAAACTTTTTCACATACGTTCATTCAAATCACTCGATTTTGAATATATGTACGCATTCAACACGATATGTAATTGATAACTTATAGTAGGTAACAATTATTACGGTTAATATTATAAGTTTTATGGATGTTACTTTTTTAAGTGCTGATATAACAGTATCTGCTTAAATCTAGAAAAAGTGCGAAGAAATATCATGAGATCTGTTAAGTGAATCACGCATGTGTTATATGACTTCAATTGATGCTTAATGAATAAAGAAATTACTGCAAAAAGTTTGAAATAAAAATTAAAGAAATAATCTAAAATTATAAATTTCTTTTTGATTCAAACGCTGATATAAAACTTTTTTTTGATTACTTAGAATAGACAGCATAATTTATCACAACAAGATCAAAAATTTTATCCTCTTAATTATACTAACAAGAATTACCGAAGTTGTCAGTATAAATTTGAAATACTGTGAGTATAAACTTGAAAAATATTTTAATAATTTACGGAATCCACCTACAATTGAAAATTTAAATTTTTGAAATCGTTTTCAAAGTCTTTCGTCATGTAATTAAACTTGAGTTTTATTGTATATCGTAAATTACATGAGAATCATTTTTTATAAACCAATACTAACCCTAACATTTTTAAATAGGTATCCGTTTTCGTACCCTCCCAACCAGGAATATGATCTCTTATAACGTCTTCAAGATCAATTTATCATAGTAACCAAATCGTCAAGAAGTTATATTATTGTTGCTAGCGACAATAATGGTTTCAAAAACACTTATTATAATCAACTGTGAAACTATCAACTCCATTTTTTTAATGGCTTATAATTACAAGAATTCTAACAGAATTTTAATTATTACCCTCAGATGTCACTATTTTTTTATTCAAAAACTTTAATCTTGATATAAATAAAACTGCGGTTCATCAAACACTATGATTGACTTTTTTATATTCAATAAAAAAAAGTTACTGTGGTAAAAAATATAAAATAAAAAAAGTAAAATGTGGTTCATATTTTCAAAGAAATTTGCTAGGAATTTTGTAAGATTGATAAATTACAATTGACGTTTAAACATTTTTACTTTTTTTTTTCAACTGTTCTATTTTCGATACACAACATGGAAGGATATATAAAGATAAAAAAAAAACTTCAAATCATGTCTTAATATTTTTTATATAAATAGGGGAGGGGGGGGGGGCAAAATGGGGTGCTTAAGGAAATCTTAAGTTATTGGAGACTAAAATGCGCTAAATCTTATTTTTTTAAGTTGTTTTCTAAGTAAATAACAAAAATTTTTGTTAATTTTTTGGGGGCGAAATGGGGTACCCTCAGAAAAAGTGAAAAAAAATTCATTATCCGAAAATAAAATATCGTTAAAAAAATAACATTTTCTTATCGACAAGTCTACAAAAGAACCTAGACAGATAAACAAATCACCCAAAAAAGAAACATTGTTAGTTGAAGCAATATACTCTTAATAAAAATTGAGGTAGCAAAAAAATTTTTAAACTTAGTAGTCATTTTTTACGGGTTTCGATTGAGTAAAAATAATATTAAGTTAAAAAAAACGAGTTCTTTTGAGAAAATTCTAGTTTTTGGATCGACCGGTGAAAAATTTTTTAGACTCATAGTTCTTACGCAATTCTAAGCAATAGCACGAAAAAAAAAATTCGTAATTTTTTTGCACTCTCTTTCTTGGTTTAGGGATTCAGGAAAATTTTTTCAAGTTGAATAATCTTGTAGACCTCAAAATCTTACTTTTTAAATTATATCTTACAAGTGCACCAAATAATTTTGAAGAAATTGGCCGCCTCTGACGGAATTTTCTGAGCATTGATAGTTAAATTATGATATCAAAAATGATCCGAGGATAAATTTCGAAGTTATTTGAAAAAGACACTCTTTTGGAATGGTTAGTTTAGGATTTCTCTTCAACAAATTGCCCGATTTTGATGCGGTCTGCAGCAATCACCGTCGTTTTTTAAATTTAAGAGCTGATTAGATTTTTGAATTAATCTTTACATCTGTTTAAAATTTGTTAAAAATAAAAGTTATTTTAAATTTATAACGAAGTCTAAGTTTCGCTGAACCCTCCCGTGTAAAAAAAAGATGTCACAAAAATGTCCCAAGCGGGGAGCTCCAAAATTGACACAATTTGGGACATTTTTGTGACACGGAATGAAAAATCCAAAATATAATAGTTAAGCATTTGCAAACTCTCATTAAAAACTTTTTTAAACTTACGTCATTTTTTCAACTCATTTTGCAAATCGTATAGACACGTTTATAAAAAATAAGAATATTTAAAAAAAAATTATTCTTACCAATTTATTAACTTTTCAAGATAAACTCAGAAACATGACCTGTTTTGACGCGGTCAG